ATCACATCTGACCATCACACCACATCACATTTGACCAACACGGCACATCACATCTGACCATCACAGCACATCACATCTGATCATCACAGCACATCGCATTTGCATTAGCCTGATCATGAGCAGATGTAATGTATAATTTGCATATCATTCATGAGGATAGTTCCAGAAAATCAAAATTGTTTAGATAATTGCAGTTGGTTGTTGATACCTGTGGTGCCATGGACTGTATTTGAGACCACCCGAGCACAAACACACCCACCCACCCACCCACTTGCCCACTCCCCATGACATCAACCAGATCCAGTGATAAGTATTTTCAAAGTGTAAACTGTAAACATATCATAACATACCTAAAAGCAAGAAAGTACTAATGATCAGAAGAAACAGCTACTGATACTTTTTGTCATTTTTTTATAATTTTCCAGAGTCACAATTGTTAATATATCAACTAATACTGCTGTACCAATCATTTACACAGGCTGATGTTCTAAAAATCAAATCCAGAAATCAATAAAGGCAATGCCTCTGACAAATCATGGTCATTATGGTAACCATCAGTTCTTCACATTCTAGTAGCAAACACAATGATAATCTGTGACACATGTGGCATATTGTATGGTGATACTATTTTATAATGTTCCAGACCACATAAAATTCATTTGTGACATTGGCTTCATGACACTATCTTGTTCTATTCTATTCTATTCTATTCTATTCTATTCTATTCTATTCTATTCTATTCAGTATTTTATTCTATTCAGTATTCTATCCTATTGCTATTCTATTTTATACTCTGAAAATTCTATTCTATTCTATTCTATTCTATTCTATTCTATTCTATTCTATTCTATTCTATTCTATTCTATTCTATTCTACTCTATTCTATTCTATTCTATTCTATTCTATTCTATTCTTGTATCAAGTCTGATATATTTTATTTTTGATACTGGTTATCCCTTTAAAGCAATTTACTTGTACCGGTACTTACACTATGAAGGACTGTTTGTAAAAATAAAATCCCAGTAATTTCAGGTAACTCTAGAATCTCCAGATAGTCTCTGGTAACTTGGCAGTCTGGTACTATATAGTGTGTCGCCATTGGTAACAAGGTTCTACTCCCTAATTCAAAACATAAATTAAAAAACAATTATGAAAAACACGATAAATTGTATTAATGCTATTATAAAATGACAAAGCTGTACAT